CATCTGCCATGAACCAAATAATTCTGTGTGCAACAAGGACAGATTGTGGGAGCGACCTCATTTTCAAGTTACATGCAGATGTAGTGCAACCTATGTCGGTCTGACAGGTCTTCAACATCCAGTAATATTAAGGAAAAGAGCACTAAATGCTGGGTCACCGGAGTTCTAGCAAGCTTAGTATTGTTCCACCTGGTTGGATGTCATAGTTTAGCTTGCACAATGCGTTAATTGCGGTTCTCAGGTTTTTCGTGAGCGATTCTACTTGTCAGTGTTTATTTACTCCTGGCACAGCAGGAGGTAATTCGATCCTGTCGTCGAGATTTTGCAAGGTGCATTTGTTAATGTTGAAGAAGCGTCTGCATTTGCTCGAACGGATTAGACATGTTTACCGGAACATCCGTCGCCAGAAAGTCTGTTGTGTCGCCGTTGACAACTTCACCCCACGATCGCTAGAAGATGTCAAAGACGAGCTAGAAAGAGACTTGTATACATGAAATCACATTTGCTTATATAGTTTTGAAGGCAAAATGCAGGAAAGCTACTAAATTACACTTGAGCCAACCAGCCGAAGGAAATATATCAGAAGAAAAGGCGAATAAGCAACCGTGTACTCAAGAGCGAATCGCATATGTCCTTAAAAATAACATCACGGGACTCCAAGCCTAAAGCGAACAGCCATTTACAGTGACGGGCACTGGCCAATCAGAATGAAATGATACTTTTAAACAAATGTCACAAAGCAAATGGGAATAAGCAATGCAGACCTAAAAATAAAAACTAGTACAATGATTGTGTGATAACTAAGTATTTATTTAACATAACCAAGTAGGAAAGTGATGAGGAAAAGCAAATGGAATGTGTTCTTGCAAACGGCACTGCTGAGGAGGACACGGAGATGAGCGTCCATTAACAATGAGGTGTGTGTACCAATCGGGCTAGCATATTGGAGCGGTTAAACAACAATCAAGAACTAGAAAATAGGAAGTATAAATAATGGTTATAAAGCTTGTTCACAAAAAATGAATGTCTAACAGCCATTCTCTTAATAGATAACATACGACACGCAGATGGCTAAATAAATTACGCATGAAGAGGAAGATCTTGAATGCGAACTCACTTCCGGGACGAATGATAACAACCACGGGCTCGGAAGGTGGGCCTTCCCCTTTCCCATTTACTGCACTGACACGAATGAAGTAGGTTGCGTTTACGGTCAAATGCGACAGTATGTACAGATGGGTAGGTCTATGTCGGTCACTCGTGACATACATGCTGGTTAACTGCGAGGCCAAGGAGGGTGTTCTATTGGAATCCATATCCACAATACTGGTGTCCCAAAACGACAGTTCCAGATTTGGTCGATCTGTGTATAGGATACGATAAGCCTATAAAGACAAATGAAGTAAAAAGCAAGATAGCAAAATGCAGTACTGCATTAGTTGAGAGAAAAGATAAACAACCCGGTCATTATAGTGGAATGCCATATATTTAAATACTTTGTAACTTAGGCCCGATTGGCAATAACAGTTCAGATGGGAATCTTACAACTATATTTTGGGTGACTTTTACAAAGTGTGGATCGGTTGTTTTGTCTAAGACACATCACTTGATATCGAGTATATTTTTATTGAGGTTAGCAAAACTCTTTACGATGAACTGTACAATTTCCCACGCCTCTATATTTGTTGTGACTGCTGTTCTATCATGAACACTGTGCACACCCAACTGACAAACTCAGCTACATCCAATAATGTCACAGAGGAAATTTTTAAAAATGTTGACCCATTTTCGGAATACCGGATACTGAGCAAATGCAACGAATAGAGTTGCCTCCGTGTACCTACATCTAATATTTTTCAAGCAAATCTAAATATTATTATGTCGATTATTTTCGAAATCTCTATTTGGCAAAGTGCGTGTCCAGGAGTTTCTTAAACTGCGGCACTGACTTTTGCTTCGATTATTTCTGCAGGCAGTTTGTTCCAAATATTCACTACCCACCGCTCGAAGTAGAGTTGGCGAGCGACCCGCTTCAAATCCGGTACGACAACCTTGTACCGGTGTCCTCGTGTGCTGCTGGGTGTACGCAGATGAAGCAGCGGTCTCAACATGGGGCAATCATCCAGTTGTAATATCCGGTACGCCATAATGAGGTCAACCCTAATCTCATGCACCGGTCTTCCCATGGTACACCTCGTAGACCGGGGCTGAGCGCTGTGGACACATGCTGTTACCGATCAATCCTTTGCACCTCGTTCCAGGTGAGCGGACAGTAGGCGGGTGAGCTGTACGCTAGCCTTGGTCTGATGATAGAAGAGAAGAGATGGGTGACAACCTCTTCGGACGAAGTGCAGAAGCTGCGTTTGAGCGCCCACAGCATGAGCAGTCCGTATTGGTAAAGCTTGTTTGTGTTTTCAACGGATTTCAAAACGCAACGTGAGAGTAGGCCGAGATTTTTCAAGGATAGCGATGGGAATAACAGCTGGCCGGCCAGATTGTAGACTCGGCCATTACCACTCTTGCCCAGGACCATGAATACCGACTTGACCGGGTTGATCGGAATGTTGACCTTTGCTGACCACATGGAGAGGCGGTCGAGGTCAGGCTGAAGCAGGTCATAGTCGTCGGGCGCCTCATTTACCCTCTATACCTTAATGTCTTTTGTAAACAACGCGCAAGATGAATTGAGCAGCTGAGACAAATCCTTAGTGGTTCAGGAACAACACAGGCACAAGGACTGTGCGCTGCGGGGCGCTACTGGTCGATGGATACCACTCGGTCAGGTGGTTGTCCACCTGCACCTTCCGCGTCCGACCGCTAATTAAGTCACTGATCCAAAAATGCAGTGGGCCACCAACACCGCGCATGTTCAGTTCCGAAGGAAGATCTCATGGTTCACCTTGTCAAACGCTTTACTGAAATTGATTTAAATGACGTTAACCGAATTCCTTGGTTTAGCTCCTGCAGTTGTTCGTGCTTAGAGAGTAGCAGGTTTGTGATGAAGGACTGACCTTCCATGAAATCGTGCTGCGCGGGCATCAAGATACTTTTGGACTCGATATGCTGCAGGAAACCAAGCTCCAATATCTTCTACAGTCTCCTAGCCAAAACGGAGGTCAGACATATCCTCCAATAGTTGTCCATCTAGCTCGGATCGCCGCCTTTCCGAATCGGCTTCACTACTGAGCATTTCCAGTGGCTGCGCAATGAACCGGCGGACAGCGACTAGTTGAATAGCTCAGTCCCCGAAGGCGAGCTGATGGCCGACAGCGATCTGAGAACCAACGGATGGAGAGCATCAGACCCGGCAGCCTTGATACTGTCAAAACTGGCGGGCAATTTCCGCACATCATCAATCCTGCAATGCAGACTGTCGAGCTCGGTAGGGACGATTTGCGTCAAACTCCGTACGGGCGACTGGTTATCTGCAAAAATGTAAAAGCAGTGCGCCGCTAATGCGGAAGCACGCTCAGTGCTAGTAACTAGGGTCTGTCCGTCCGAGCCCCCAAACACAGGCACGCCACCTGTCGGCTTCAGGCGTTGCTACAGGTATGCAAAGATTCTCTTGGGAGCTGCTTTTGCTGCGGTTGCAAGCCGCTCTTCGAAGTTTCGACGTTTGCTCATTTTCGCACTATCACAGGCATTCCTTTGCCTCTTGTAAGCCTCGTGAACTTAGGCAGAGCCAGATTGCACGAATGGATCCCATTGCCGGGGTCGACGTCGAGCCAGTTTGTCAAACTCCTTTTCAAACTAGTATGGCTTGACTGGTCCAGCTTTCCGATATTTGAGGGTCACAAATCAGACGCACAATTATTTTACTCCCTGTTATGACAGACCAACTGGCTACAACTGATGAATCCTGTGGTAACTACCAGTCCATCATGATGGCAGCTCGAGTGAGTCCATTAACTTCCACCTTCCAATATTTGAAGGCTGCCTCCAGCGGAGGAATAAACAGCAGTGTCATCTCTAAGCTCGTCAAGACCATCGCATGGTTATTAGCTGCCAGGGACTCTAGGATTTCAACTCCACGCATATGTTTTTCGCATCTGGTCGGCAACAGGTCCAGACATGTAGGAATCGAGCGCGAAATAACGCACGTCACCTGTTTGATTTGCCGTGGGGCCCCATTTACGAACATCATCTCCACAAACTTCATCTCATCTTCGCAGTCACCGGGGAGAAGCTCGATCTCGTGCCACCGTATTCGAAGAAGGTTGAAAGCGCACATGAGCAGCAATTACGGACGACTCATGTGGTTGAGCACATGGGTAACCAGTCCAAGATTCGGCTAAGTGGACTGCGATACACAAACCCCAGGAGACACGCCGTGTATCAGATGGACCAAACACTAAGGCTGCTCAGGTAGGCCATCACCGCTTCTGTATATGCTCCCTAGCCTACCGCACAAGAAAAACCGTATCTATAGCAACACATCGTGCGCATCCAACCAACAGACAACCGTGGGTAATTGCAGAAGTACGTCATGTTACACCCACTCATAAACGGACTATTTACGCAAAATTAATGGACAGAAAGCACAACTGATTGACCAGAAAACTGACACTCAATTCTCCATCCCATTCAAAGTGCGCTATCATTGTTCACAAACTGGAAGTAGACTTGACGTGGACTAGTAGCCATCACATATGAAAGCGTTATGAAGTTCAATGTTGATGCATATGACTACCTGAACAACATGATCTCATATTAGTGTATAAATCATCAGCTATTGCAATCAGTCTCAGTTAAAAGCAGCAAACCTAATTTTCTCATAGGCAGGGCTTGCCAGTATTTGCTCATGTAGGATATTTTTTGGCTTATGTCCCACAACTGTTCGCGCTGGTAACGATTGTTGACCCAGTACATCAGTTTATCATGTACCGATGTAACCTTTTCATCTCTTTACCTTGGTAAGTTACGAGCGGTTTTATGCCCTTGTTATAATTGTGGGAACGCCTCTGTTATGATTGCGTAACACCTGATATGGTAGTCACTGGCACGGTTGAAACACGCCTCCGGTAACGGCTTGGAAAGCTGGCCAATCGAACGGATTTGAGCTGACCTGATGGCGTTAGCTTAGCCCGGGGTACGCGCTGGTGAGACGAAAATTGAGCGAGCATGAGAACGATCCTAGCCGCACGTATTCGGGTAGACACTGAGACCTCGGAACGGATGCACACGAGAGTGGTTAAGGTAGACGCGCGCTAGTGACTTAGACGAGAATGCTGCCCCGCTAACGACGCACACAAAAACACGTGACCCGCTGGACTCCCAAATAAAGCGAAGAGGAAGAAAGGCAAGTGGTCTTCTGAAGGCTCTTTTACGACCAACAAAGGGCAAATCACGGCCAATGCTATGGGTCATTAAGTTAGGGATAATAGCTACCACGACGGGCTGGTGGTTTGTAAAAGAATATTGTCAACAGGTGCGCAGTTGGGCCGCGTCTCGGAGTGGCTGAACTCTGCTTTGTTGTGAGGAGGAATAGGACCTCGCTTTCCACAGCCATTATTCCGGAGTTTCTGACGCGTTTTGCGGGGATATTTGACAGGCCCGCAACAGCCTTTCTTCTCTTAACTGCATATGATACACGCATTTCATTCGCCATCAAATATCTCGGTGTCCAGTTGTTCTAAAATCTGTCTTGGTCCACGAAAGTTTTTTGAAAGATTACACATGGTCAGAAGATAATCTTTTTATACTCTCCGACATAAGAAGGTCACTATGCTGCAACTTTCAATAGTGGGATTTGTAACTACATGTATGCTACCCCACTGGGTGTACTCTTCCTCGATATACATCCCTAGTCTACTGCAAAAGATCGTGTTCTGATAGCGCGATTAATTGAATATACTACCAGATGTAGCAGCCAAACCAGAAGTTCCCTAGTCCACTGAATTATTCGAAAGTATTCAGATTTTGTTCCGTTTTCCGAGCTGCAACGAAACTGTTCAGCTCGGAGAACAGAACAAAATCTGAACAGATCACCCGAGCTACAAGTATTCCGATTTATTTGAAAGTATGTTGACCTCTGGATATCTTTGGGTGTTGCTCTTCCCAACACTGGCACACCACGACCGCCGTTTCGTCTTCGTTTAGCCTCGTCAGGTGGAGATAGCCTGAGCTGGGGGTGGAACTCAGCTTAGTAGTTCATGGCTGACGCCCTGAACACTATGCTACTGATATCCGCGAGCAACGCCTGACACAGCGGAAAGTAATTCAAAGCTGAATTAAGGGAGCACGTTGTGCGGTTGAATTTCGAAGTCAGTTTGAAAATTTCTTCTTAGTCTCAAGTGATCATTTTCATAATGGTTCCTCAAAATTTGACATTTTATTCTACCGCACTTCATTGTATCATAAATCACTCTTACTTAGTTTAGCACGTTTTTTGTCGACCCGAAGTAAGTCAAAAATACTTTACATATACGGCTTCATGAGTAGCGTTCGAACACCTTCGTCAGTTCAATTTTTCACTTTGTGGCTATAACGTTTTTATTGGTTCCATCGTTCAATGTATCTGCTGTAATAGTTTAACTGCTGAGAATTCACACATAAGGGTGTAAAATGACTAACTTAGTTGTAATGTGGTGATAAACAGATGCTCCATTTGGCCAAGAAGGGGGAAATTTACCCAATGGCCGCGGTGCGTTAATAATTTGTTTGACTGGAATTATCTGTTAGATATAACCATCTGAACCGCTGTTGGGGAGCTGGCCACTTAACCCTCAGTTTCATGAATTATGTTAGTTGCCTATTTCTTTGTTTGCGCAGTTATCTGCTTCTGTGCTACATTTTGGACACGCCGCTTTCCTCATCCTCATTCGCAATCGCTCACAACTAATTTCAGAAGTCTCATTCTGTGGACATTCTGATTGGTTTCTTTTGCTCAGCGTTCCTTAGATTTTCACATGGATGTATTATTCAGCCGACACATATTTATTATACCTATTTTTATTTTCCTGGTTTGTATCATTCTCACTATCAACTGTTCTGGCATTTGTTTAAACGCATCACTTTTCCACACTGGTTGGACGCTACTCGTCGTTTTTAATGGTCGCTCACCAGAAGGTTACCCCCATGGATTTACTCCGCAGACACTATTTTCTTTGCCGCACTTCATTGGCTCGTAATTTTGGAGATTCTCATTTGCTTGTTCCATTTTGTGTTTTCTCCATGCCTGTTGGACCTCATGCGTTTAGTAGCTTGGCTCCGCCCTTGTTTTTAAAGCTATATAACTGGTGCCGTGCTGTAATAGAAAATCTGTTCATCCCGGCTCATCTGGACTTCTTCTTGCGGTCGTGGGGTGAAGGCGTACTGGGCGTCACATCAACCGCAAATTATGGGAAGTGAGGGCATGGAAGATCAAAACGGACTGTTGTTTTTAACTGATTCACCTTGGGCACCCATCACAAATGGGTCATTTTATGACAGAGAGTATCATAATGTTATGGGTTTGTAGAAAAAAGCCGTGTCAATCCACTTGCTACAGAATAAGTCGCGCACAGGTAAACAATATGCAAACACTCATTTAAAGGATAAGGGAACGTTTAATGAGTACATATGTGCACATTATGTTGGTAGTCTTAAATAATCCACCGTGCCAAAAACCACTTCTTTCCAACTGGCTGCTGAATACACTTTTTCTTATTTTTATTCTCGGCCCCCTTTCGAACCGGCGTAATATAACTTATAAACTGCAACCATGATACGGTAAAAGCGTCAGCATCTTTTCACCTTGTCATCCCCAAGTTGAAGGGACACAATCGCTAAGAATGTTAAGCTTGCGGTTTCCGTTACATTGATATGTCACTAGAAAAAGGGATTTTTCTTGACTTGTGTCGCTGCGTGAGTGTAATGGTCAGCAATTCATACGAATTGCTAAAATTGACAAACACTAAACAACCATTAACTTGGTTTTCCACGTTTTACCATATTTTAATCAAAATATATCATGTCTGGATTTACAACTCCACTGTGTAACTGAAAAACTTGGCGTTTATGCAATCTGACTTTTTGTCTCGTACGACCAACTGGATACTTGGAAACCGTAAATGGGATCCTACTTCGGTGAGAAACCACAGAACCGAAGGAAGAAGAAAAGAACACGGTAAGTCTCCTGCGGTAATCATCTGCCAATTGGAATTAAGCCGGTGAAGTGCCGGATACTGAGGTAAACAGTAACCGTGGCATAAGCATAAAGTGGCACTTAATCAAAATGAATACGATGTGATAGTTGGCATGATACGGTCTGTTCGTCTGGATGGGTCTACGTCACAAGTTGTGAATAAAAGTTAAACTAGCTTTGATAACGTGATCAGTTACACAACAGTTAATTTCTCGTGAAGCATATCGGATGTTCTTCATAACATGAGAACAGGAACATATATGTGACTCACTCTTATACGCCCGTTGGGCTCGGTTGGGGGATTCCAGTAAACAGTTACCGCAGCATTTGAAATCGCCTCTGCGTGGACTTCGGTCGGTGGACTTGTAGGAGCTAAATGTCATATAGACGTGAATAGAGGAAATTTTATATTTGATGCTAGCCACGTCACTGAGGTTATTGGTACAATAATCAGGTAAGAGGATATTTTGCGTCAATTTTGTTTAACAAAACATCAGCCATGAAGTGGTAGATAGTCGAAGTGGGTTGGTGCATAGACGCGGAAAATTTTACAATTTCAATTCAAACTGTACTTCACTGAATTATTTAAACAATGCTACCATTGGATGTGATAGATGTTGATTAAATTATAATCTCCTGAAATGTGCCTATAGGGAAGTAAGAATTGAGAGTGGGGAAGAAATATATTTTCAATGTTTCTCTTCAGGCTAATACATACACAAAAACGGCTAAAATTGCGATAGGATAAGATAGGCTGACTGACCTAAGACTTGTTACCTCTAAACAGGCTGCTTTATATTTTGAACAGACCATCCAATGGATGATGCTAGCAACGCAATGGCCACTGCGGTATGGCTAATGCCACCTGAACTGTGCAAACACAGGACCCTAGTGCAGACGCCACATTTTCCATGGCCCGGACTTTTCCGTAAGCACCGCTTCATCCACTTTCAGGCGGTGACCCTGTGACCCTATGTGCGTTACTAGCATCATCAATTGGAGAGTCTAGTCAACAGATAAAGCAATCTGTTTAGACTGAAAAAACGTTGGCCCAGTTATCTTAACCTATTGCAGTTTTAACCATAATATATGTGTATTAACCAGAAAAGAATTAGCGGAAAAATATATAACCATTGTTGATTTCACGGTAATGAGTGGGGGTACTACAGTGGATGTTTGATTTCCATCACATTTTGTTCATCTATCCCCATTAATCTTGTAGTATGGCAGGAGTAGAATCAATGTATACGTGGTCGTTATTGCCGGGATGAATGTTGTTCATTTTTCGGACATTTGTGGTTATCCACTTCATGCTTATCAATCACTCATATATTTCGAGCTACACGGGCAGCAGAAATGGACAGTATGCCTTCCTGGGGGACATGTGCTAAGCGCTGTAAATTGCAACCCGCATTAACGTTGAAGCATCACAGTACGTCTCTCCTGGTGATTGACACGTTCCGTGATCAATATATTTCCATTGCAGCGTAGAACTCACTTTAGATTTAGTGGGTTGCACAACAATTTGCGGAAAATGGCATAAAAGCACAAAGTATCTTGTGAGACCAAAAACAGTTCCCATAACTGAAAAACGTGCATTTTGCTGCAAAATAACCTGCCAGGAAGCCGCAGTGTGTACCTGTTCTAATAACTCCACTGGTGCATACAGCAGGATGGATAAGCAAAAACATGCTACTGCTGGCGACTCAATTCTTTCCTTTCCACCTGTTTCTCTTACTCCCATCCCGACCCCCATTACTAACCTTCCTTCTATAATTCCCAGCTTAATTGAGGGAAACCGAATTGTTACTGTAGTAGAACCATCTGCAGCCACCATCCAACAGCATCTATCGGACGCCTATCGGCAAAAGTCACTTATAAGGCCATGCTGTCCCGTGTCCATGGCGACATTCAACGTTCGTATTCTAAGATAAACAGGTCAACAGGCTGCACTCGCATGCACCTTAGACACACTGGGTATTTAGTTGTGTTGTGTGTAAGAAAGTAGAAGCAATGACCCTAACGGGGTTGTTGAGTTAACTGCACCCAGCTTATCCTCTCGTTATTGGTTGCACGCATCCGGAGACGCCGATGCGGCACTCACGGGTCAAACTGGTGTAGGTATCATTCTCTGCTCCAAGGTTGAGTCATCGTTGGTTGATTGGACTCCGGTGAACAGCGGTTTGTGTGCAGCCCGTTTGAAGACATCAACTAAAGTTGATTCACAAGTAGTACAAAACGCTGTTTGTTTGCGATTTCCGCTTATGCTCCCACCGATTGCAATTCTAATGCTGTCAAGAGCACATTCCATCAGGAACTAAACGGGACACTACGCAGTGCTACTAGTTCAGAGATCCTAATAATTGCATGGAGCACGAATGCACAAGTAGGCTGTATGAGCTATTCAGAAGCTCAGCTGGGTGGCTTTTATGGGCTTAACTCCGAACGGACTGACAACGGTGAGCGGCTGCTGCAAATTTTTGCGGAGCACCAGTTGTTTTTTCGTAGCACTGCCTTTCGACACAGTAGGCGCCGAAGAACCACTTGGCGTCTTCCTGTAGCTGGCCAGTGCTTGACCCAAATTGACCACATTACCATAAGTTACAGATGGCGTGGTTCCATCCTGGCTTGTCGCTCCTACTGGAGTACTTGCGTCGACTCTGATCATGCCTTTGTAGGCAGTCCTTTCTCCATGAACTTTAAGAATAGGCCCACCAAGCGTCTCCTCCGATTGGCCACTGAGAAATTGTCTCAGCCCTCGGTCAGGTAAAGCCATCAAGACACACTACGTTCCGAACTTTCGTTGTCTTGTCCTAATGACAATGAGCTTTAGTGGAATAGGATCTCGGCCGCCATGCACGAAGCAGGAGCATCTGCTTTTGGCACTATCCATCGTCACCGCAGCAGTCACTGGATATCCCAGAGGTCGGTGAACCTGTTGGAATCTAGAAGACACCTCCCGGCTGGCTCTGAACATAATGTGACCAGACGGGCTATTAGGCGTGAACTAAAGCAGAGCCTGCGTGCTGACAAGGAAGCCTGGTGGACCAGTCGGGCTCAAGAAATGGAGGCGACAGGAGCAGTAGGCAATTGTCACAAGCTCTTCCAGCTGATCCTCACCACTGGTCTTAGAAAACCAGATGTCAGTGAGACAACCAGAGACAGCGCAAGTGCACTGATACACAAAAAGGAATGCCGCATGGCTCGTGGGGCGGAACACTTTCAAGATAAGTACAGATGGACCCCTACTCCCGAACCTCTGCCTATTCAGGTGATGCAAGACGAGCCATGGACTTTTAGTTTAGAGCCTCCGTCGGACGCCGATGTCTGAAAGGCGATCACAACCCTCAATCGTTTTCGTGCCGCTGGCCCGGATTACCCCCCCCCCCCACTTGCACTATTTGAGGATGGAGATGAGCTCCTCTGCAAAGCAATGGCCTCCCTATTCGAACGTACCTGGAAGGAAGAGAGTGTACCGGCTAATTGGAACGAATCGATTATAGTGGCAATCTACAAGAAAGGGAGTCGCACAGACTGTTCTAACCACTAGGGTATAAGCCTAACGCCAGTTTTGACAAAAGTACTGGCCCCGATTCTCGTTCGTCGTCTCATTGTGGAACAAGAATCTCGGATTAGGGAAGAAAAGACAGGTTTTCGCCTACGACGTGGCTGCATAGACAAGATATTCACTTCGCGGCTACAAGTGCTAGAGAAGCGCCACGCATACCGCCGACCGGCAATAGCTGTGTTCCTTGATTTCAAGAGTGCGTTCGATTTATTTGATCGCTCGATTATGTTCGAAATACTTACGCAGAAAGATTTTCCAACGGAATATTTGAACATCCTACGTGCTCCGTACTCGAATACTACAGGTCGCGTCAGGATCTACGGTCGCCCATCGGATAGCTTTCCGACTACAAGTGGCGTTCGTCAGGTTTTCTGATTTCCCCATTTTGTTCAATTTCCTCGTGGAGTATATCATGGTGTATTTCCTTACGGAATCTCACGATGTAGGCGTTGAAGTGCTGCCAAGAGAATGATTAGTTGATCTTAATTATGCGGACAATATTGTCTTACTTTTCGAAGACGTTGCGGTGGCACAATCAAATTTGAATAGCCTGTCTAGAGTGGTCCCATTATTTTGTATGCACTTCGCACCTTCAAAGTGCAAAGTGTTGATGCAGGATCACCAGACACTTTATGACCCATTGACCCTTGCTAACCAGGAGCTCGAGGTGCTTGATCAATTCCCTTATCTTGGCAGCTGCATCAGCAACGATAGGCGCATAGAAACTGACGACAGCTCATGCATTGCGAAGCCCAGAGCCGCCTTCTTGAACCTGCGGAATCTTTGCTGACTGAAGGGAATTTTCCTACGTCTGAAAAGCCGTGTATGCAAGATCACAGTGAAGGCCGTTCTGCTCTATGTTAGAGAGACTTGTCCCCATCGGTCTGAAGATCTGAGGCGACTTCATATCTTTGATCATCGTTGTTTGCAAATCATTGCTGGTGTCGGATGGCACCAGCTTGTCCGCAACAATGATGTGCGTAGGCGAGTACCAGGTAATGATAATCATGCTAGCTCCCTAGAACAACATATAGCACTGAATAAGTTGCCTTGGCTCGGGCACGTGCTACTTATGCCTTGGTCACGGCTTAACTAGGATGGCCTTCTATATTCTGCCAGTTGTAAGGTGGCGCAAAGCTCGAGGTGGACAGAAGTTGACTTGGCAACGGGAGATGAAGACACTGATGACCAAACTGGGTGTCCTTGGTCCGTCTCATCTTCCGGGCTGGAGTTCACGTGACTCACCATGTGCTTGGCTCGAGACTTTACAGGACATGGCTCACAACCGACACCAGTGGCGCATCTGCTGCCGCCTACTAATCGGAGTGCCTGCTTAAAGTGTGTTTGGCGCTGCGTTATCTGCGGGGTAATGGCTGATTGTGACGCGGGGCAGTGAAAGCCCCAAGGAAGTTGTCTCGTCGGTGCGGCCTTATCTTTGCACAATAGCCAGCTGTTTGTGACGGTATGTTGTCTACACAAGGTGTAGGCGCCTTGACTCAGAATGTTTGCTTAGGGCATTAAGCTTTTCGAGTAAGTTCCCCTTCTTTCCCTTTTATTATTCCTTATTCCATAGGTTATCATGCTTGTGTGGCAGCGAAGCATCAGTTCAAATGGCTGATGTACTGCTGTTGATGATGATGATGGTCATGAGTTAAAAGTTGATTTTTCAACAGCTGAACCCGTTTACATAATGTAACAGATAGAATCAACCGCGTTATTTACTCGCATACTTAAGTTCCACAAGTACATTGAGAATTCTAGAGAACCTAGGGGTATCTCCAACGGAAGCATATTCTTAGACTTATGAAAACAATCAAATAAAACCCTTCTAGAGGTAACTGAACTGCGGCAGACAAACACCCGGCGCATTAAGTCAAATTAAAGGGGTGCGTCCGGTGGTTCACACCACGTGTGTGTGCTTAATCCGAAGCGGTGAGTCAGTCGTGTGCGGTTAGTCTCAAGGTCATCGTTACTGCGACAAGTATTGCACTATCATGCCTGGAAAACCTCTTGGATATGGCAAAAAACCGCGCACAATGTCGGACATGTGACAACCCTAGGTTGCACTCACCCATTTCATGTGTCAAAAATGTCCACGTGGGACCGGTGTTTGATGGGTCTGCGTCCTGTCCAACAGCACGCGCCCAAACAGTGTAATTTGTATACGGTTTAAGTCTTGTTAGCGAGACCTCAATCGTCTGGAAAATGTTCGACGAATCCCGCAAAGTCTTTGAAAGCTCCGTCGTATCCAGAATCTTTACACTTCCATCTGCCTTTTTAGTTGCGTTCATGGGATCATTTGGTAGTAGTAGAATCTCCGCTTGTGGCTACAAAATTGGTACAGTGATTTAATATCAAAGCAAATTTACACATATCAACAAAAAATTAGGTGGCTTTGATTGAAAGTACGTACTACAGTGGATTGTCGGTGAGGAAATCATAGCCTAATAGCTAGTTTAGTATGGATTCGCCTAAAAAGCAAGATGTATTTTCAGTGGGAAATGTCTTGCAGCCTTCGCATTGGAACTTAGATAATATTTCCATCAAATGCAAATGTCAGGTGCCCTGTAACGGACAAAACACAGTCTGTCGGATTTGTGGTGTACCGGGAAACAAGATCTTTCAGCTTTTGCAACATTGGATTTTACCTTTGTTTTAACCTACAAAACGTCCACTTGTTTACTGGCGGCACTTCGGTTGACACTAATTGTTTTAGTGAGTATCTTGCTGCACCGTTTCTCGCTCTGGTTGATTCGCTTCCTATTTTTGTAGCCTGCACAATGCACCTTGAGTTCAGTCGCCTTCAAATTCTATACTGTCTTGTATTTGACACGTCTCTTATGTGTTAATGAGTATAGATATTGTCCCTGGCGCCACTCAACCATTGGTGACCCCGGTACAGAACACGACGTCGGCCATCTTTAATTTGCATTCTGGTGAGCTCGTTCCAGTGACTTTGATTCCTTACTCGCTATCGTTTTTTTTTCTCACCTGTCACATTTTCTTTAATCATTTCTCAGCGGGAATAGTTCTGATGATAAACCATATACCTACGTGGTTATTACCGTAGAGCTAGCCTCCCCACCATTTTGGGAGAATGACACTTTGTCATGATATGCGCATTTAGAATCCAGTTTTTACAATTGTAGAATTTCTTCTGATAATGATAAATATCATCAACTTATGTCTCCGTTTCTTCAAGTTGTATCCTGCCAAGTGAGAGACATCATAGCTTGCCCCCGTCCCGATGCGAAATATGGGACTTTAAAGCAGGCGATCATACAGCGAATCACGCCCTCTGACAAGGTCCGACTGCATCAACTGTTTAGGAATCTGCCGCTAAGGGACAGGATGCCTTCAGTCTTGTTGCGACAGAAACAACAGCTCCTAGGCCCATCCAGCATGGACGCTGGGATTCTTCACTAGAAGGCAAAGTCGAGAAACTCGCCTTAGACCGTAAGCAGCGCACCCTGTCTAGCTCATCTCCTCGTTGTACGAAGTGCAACACTTCCGGCTTTTGCTTTTACCACCCATGTTTTGATAACAAAGCCAGTAACTTCGAGCAAACATGCAGTTTCTCCGCCAGGAAGCAGCGAAACTTTCAGGCGGGCCTGTAATGGCGACTAACGGTGTCGGCAAAGCCCAAAGTCGACTCATCTACATTAGGGATTATGATTTCTAGACCCCGTTCTTAGTTGATAGCGGGGAGGATGTCAGTGTCATTCCTTCTATAACAGGTGAGCCTTTCACTTCTTTGTCGACAACCCTAAGTGCCGCCAATGATAAGCCAATAGCCAGTTATGATAATCCTGGAGCTAAGTTTTCGGCGCACGTTCCGCTGGGTATTCACCGTCGCTGCAGTCCCCTTTTCCACCATCGGCATTGACTTTCTCAGGCATTTGGACCTGTTGGTCGATGCAAAACGCCAGATGGTAGTCAACACTGCAAAAAACTCCGTGTATGGAGGATCACCGCCGATATCGCATCTATAACACCGGTCTACGTCTTTCCCCAGGCCACTCCAGACTACGCCAACCTCTTTTCCCAGTATTCCAAGCGTGTGCAGCCAATGAAAGCAGTTTGCCCGTGGCATCCCTAGTTACACACCACTCATGGAAAAATGGCCCACCGGTCTCATGCTGTCTACGCCGACTATCGCTCGAGAAACTAAAGCTGGCTACCGCGGAGTTTGAGTACATGCTCGAACTTGGAATAATCCGCCCTTCCGACAACGCTTGGTCGTCTATACAGATGGTCCCCAAGAAATCCGGTGACTAGTGCCTTTCCGTTGATTACCGCACACTCAATCGTCTAACCGTCCCAGTTAAGTATCCCATCTCAAACATGCAGAAGCTTACCGCATGCCTCACAAGTAAGATGAACTTCATCAAGATTGATTTCGTTCGCACCTATCACCAGGTACCTGTAGAAGAAAATGACATTTCTAAAGCAGCCGTTTTGATTCCTTTCGTCTTGTTTGAATTTTTAAAAATGTCATTTGGACTGTGCAACGCCGCACAAAACTTCCAACGCTTCATCCACAACGTCACTCGTGGCCTAGACTTCGCCTATTCCTACCTCGATGATATTGTAGTAGCCATTTCATCAGAACAAGAACACTTCGACCACTTTCTAACTCTCTTCCAGCACTTGACCCAGCACGGTGTCACAGCCAACCCGACTAAGTGCGAACTCTGCAAATCAACGGTAGAATTTCTTGGCCACCCAGTTTCATCGGTTGGTATTGAAGTCCTTCTTGATAAGATGCAAGCAATCAAAGACTTACCAGCTCCAAATTCGTTCAACCACCTCCGTCGATTTTGTGGTTTGGTCAACTACTATTGACGCTTCATTCCGCGCTGCTCTCAGCTCATGCAGCCTCTGACTGAACTACTCGGAGGGAATGAACGCAAGTTTGCATTCTCTGACACAGTACAGACAGCCTTCACCGAGCACAAGTATGCTATCTCCAACATAACCCTCCTCGCTCATTCCGAATCGACTGCACCCATTTTTATTACGACTGATGCCTTAGACATCGCGGTAGAAGCCGTTCTCCAAAAACACGTTGGTGGGCAATGGCATCCCTTTGCGTTCTTCTCCAAACACCAGCAGTCAGCGGAATCTAATTACAGCACGCTTGGCAGAAAACTGCTCTCAATTTACCTGGCCATTATTCACTTCCGGCCCGCAGTGGAAGGTCGCAATTTCACGGTCTACACTGCTCACAAGCCCCTTAGCTGCGCCTTCAACTCTGCTTACGGCAAATATGCACCACGGGAAACAAGACACCTAGACTTTGTCACGCAGTTCACTGCTGACATACATCATGTCTCAGGTGTCGACAATCCCGTTGCCAACGTTCTCTCACGCGTCAAACTCACTCTCCAGTCTTTGCCTACCGTTGACTTGCCGCCATGGCATCGGATACGATTCAAGATGAAGACACGCAACGCACTTCGCAGTCCACTTCGCTGCATGTGCAACCTGTTTCTCCCCAAACCACAGAAGCAACCATTCTCTGTGACACTACCACAGGTTGTCCCAGACTACTCGTGCCCGTCTCCTTCAGATGCACATTCTCTGATGCACTGCACTTACTATCATATCCCGGTATCCGTACATCTTGGAAACTGGTCACCGAACATTTCATTTGGCTACGCGTAAACAAAGATTTCTATACCTGGGCTCGTACCTGCCTTCAATTCCAGCGCTCCGGAATACATCGTCACACCCGCAGTCGCCTTGGGTTATTTTCCTCCCCGGACTCTCGGTACTCACATGTACACTTAGAACTGGTGGGTCCCCTGCCTCTTTCACACGGATTCGTATACATTCTTACATGTGTCGACCTCTACACAGATGGCCAGAAGCCATTCCCCTAATAAACTGCATAGGTGAGACTGTTATCCAGGCTTTCTTAGAACGATGGGTCTTGCATTACGGATGCCCATCCACCATTACAACTAACCGAGGAACGCCTTTCGAAGTTTCACAATTCGCTACGTTCGGCAACTTTTTAGGCTGCCGCAACATTCATACCACAGCATATCACCCTTATCACATATCACTCGCTTATTACTCACGGTTCCTGCACAGAGGCCAATCAATAGCAGATGTGATCTGTGAGCCTGTACACACACGTGGAACGTACTACATAATCCGTCCTTATTGGTTACGGTGATTCATCATCATCATCAACAGCAGTACATCAGCCATTTGAACTGATGCTTCGCTGCCATACAACCATGAGGACCTATGAAATAAAGAATCAGAGGGAGAGAAGGGGGACTTACCTGAAAACCTTAATGCCCTAAGCAAACATTCAGGGTCAAGGCGCCTACACCTTGTGTAGACAACATTCCGTCACAAACTGCTGGCTATCGTGCAAAGATAAGGCGGCATCGGCGAGACAGCTTCCTTGCGGCTTTCACTGCCACGCGTCATAATCAGTCATTACCCCGCAGATAACTCAGCACCAAACACACTTTAAACAGACAATCCGATTAGGAGACAGCAGCAGACGCGCCACTGGTGTCGGTTGTGAGCATGTCCTGTAAAGTCTCGAGCCAAACACAAGGTGAGTCACGTGGACTCCAACCCGGAAGGCGAGACGGACCAACGGCACCCAGTTTGGTCGTCAGTGACTTCATTTCCCGCTGCCAAGTCAACTTCTGTCCACCTCGAGCCTTGCGCCATCCTACACCTGGTAGACTGAACAAGGCCCTCCTAGGTAAGCGGTGACCAGGCATGCGTAGCACGTGCCCGAGCCAACGCAACTTATTCAGTGCTATCTGTTGTTCTAGGGAGCTAGCATGATCATCACCACCTAGTACTCGCCTACGCACATCATCGTTGCGGACACGCTGGTGCCATCCGACACCAGCAATGCTTCGCAAACAACGATGATCAAAGACTTGAAGGCGCCTCAGATCTTCAGACCGAAGGGGCCAAGTCTCACTACCATACAGCAGAACGGCCCTCACTGTGGCCTTGTATACACGGCCTTTCAGACGGAGGGAAACTCCCTTCTGTCGCCAAAGATGACGCAGATTCAAGAACGCAGCTCTGGCCTTTGCAATGCGTGAGCTCAAGACAGTTTCTATGCGCCCATCATTGCTGATGCAGCTGCCAAGATAAGTGAATTGATCAACCACCTCGAGTTCCTCGTTAGCAAGCGTCAAGGGGTCATCAGGTGGCTGGTGGTCCTGCAGCAACACTTTGCACTTTGAAGGTGCGAAGTGCATACCAAATAATGGGACCACTCTGGATAGGCTATTCAGGGTTGATT